GCGGGGGGGGGGGGGGGGGGGAACAGGGAGAAAGAGAGAGGGAGAGTTAACTCAGAACAAGATAGGCGGCACAACAACGAGTTATAGCTCTTGATACTCTCTGTGCTGGGCCATCGTTGTTTGCCGGGCTGTTTAATGCAGTTGATCCTAGCAGTGCTGTCATCGGCCGCAGCACGAACATAAACGACGAAAGGGGAAAAAGCGCAAGCAACGCCGTCTACAGAAACAGTGGTAGCACTGCCAGGAGCAGCACACCTTCTTCTCCTTTTCCTGCGCCACCAGCCAGCGAATAAGCTGCGCCTGAGCCTCCGGCGGCGGGGCTTCGCCAATCTCAAACCCAACCCCGGCGCCAGCCTCCGGCACCGCCGCCACGGTTTGTGCATCTCCCCCTTGCTTATCACTGCCGTCTCCTTTATCCGCGTCTTCTCCTTGTGCTCCGATGCAAGCATCCCCGTCACCAGCTGCATCACCGGCCTCCAACGTGCTCGCAACATCGGCCGCATCCACCTCACTCCCACCGTCAGGCCCATAGCACCGCCGGACGGCGGGACCCCCGAGAGCGGGTAGAGGAGCTGGGTACGTATCGCTCTCTTCCTCCCTCTCAGCAGCAGTGCCGTTCTTCCCCATCCCCGGGTTGCCGCTGCCCGGTGAACCCCCAGGCCACGGACGCGGCCGGCGCCTCCTCGGGGTTTCCACCCTCGCGGTCACCACCCCGTCTTCGGCGCTGCTATCGCCGCCGCAGGAGCTGCCGCCGCTGGAAGTACCGCCAGCCCCCCCGCTCTTATCAATACCATCACCCCCACCGCCGGATCCTGCTTCCGTTGGGAGCCAGCTCCTGCGCGAGTCTTCGCTTGTGCCGCCGAAGGTCAGCTCTGCCCCCGCCCGAGCTTCCAGGCGAGCTTCCAGCCTAACCGGGTTCCCGCCCCCGCCGGTCCTCGCCGCGGCTGCGCCAGCAGCGCCTCTTACCCTCCTTCCTGCCGCCGCCGCCGCCGCCCCCGCCCCCGCCGCCCCCGCCGCCCCCGCCGTCGCCGCTGCAGCGCACGTCGACGTCGCAGCCGCCCCCCGTACCGAAGAGTTGGCGCCACCGCAACCGCCAGCAGAAGGCCTGGAGACAGTAGCGCCGCCGTTGTTGTTGCTGCTGGTGGTGGTTTTGGTGAGGGCGGCGTTACCGTCGCCAGCCTTCTTCTTTCTAGCCTGAGACAGCAGCAGCCGCTTAGCGTCGGCGTTGCCGAGGTCGGCAGAGTTTTTCAGGTCCCGCAAGGCCTGATTTTTCCATACGTAGACAAAACGGGGCGCCGACACCGGCCGAGACGGGGGACGACCCCCCGGCGAAGACCGGGAGAAGGGGGTGGGGGGGAGGTTGACAGGCGACCAGGAGCGACGATGCCTGAAATACCATTGGTCCACAACTGCTACGCATGACCCTGAGCCCCTCCTGTGCTCGTACAACCACACACACCATAGCTTCGCGCCGAGAAGGATAATCTCGCACACGTTGCAACTATCTAGATGGGTGGTCCACGGCGAAATCACATGTAACCACTAGATTTTACTGCAACTCGACCCCTCCCTTCTCCTTTGAGTCCTCACATCTTCGCGCGCCCCCAAGCCAATACGAGCGTGATAGCGCACGAGATGCGCCGCCGACGTTGCTGTGTTTTCGACGGAGTTCATCGACAACACCTGCGGCACGAAAGCAAAGGTACACGAATATTAGCATAGCTTACCAAGAGAAAAAAATGCCACGTATGTCCTACGCGCACTCTAGGGAATCGTTGCTCTGCTGCTCTATCAACCAATACGTAGTACCGATCGTCGTTGCAACGCAGGAAGGTATCTCCAGCCTCTAACGACCACACCAACCTGCGGACTGGTTGGAAGCAGCAGACTAACGCGGCATTGGGGCCGATTCTCTCTCTGAGAAAGTAAATAAGGGACGATCGTCAACCTGGAAAATAACTCATGAAAAGAAAACAAGAAGAGAGAACATGATGATGTTCTGGGATGATGTTCTGGAACCCTCCAAGGGGAGTGAAAGGTATCAACGACCCCGGCCACAACGCATGCACAAATTTCCACCTCCAGGGACTTCGTACCGTAGTATCGTATCTCGTGCGAACGGGTGCAATTGAAACCTCCCCTTTTTGCAAACGCGCTTTCATATCCTGGACTTGCTGGCTAAACAGATCCGAGTGTCGCCACGACAGGGGCAAGTCCAGCGTTTTGTAGGTTTGTTTAACATGGGCGGGTGAGGGCATGAGATGGCCGTTGGTCCGAGCGGCGTTCACTTGGGAACCGACCTCGCTGGCGTCGGCTTCGGCGAGCTCCATCTTGTCCAGCTTCACGTACACGCGGCTGCGGTTGTTGAGCGACTTCACCAGGTCTGGTCCGGCCAACTCGCCGGGAATCTGTACCAAAACCGTGACGATATGAAAACAACCTGGGCATTATTTTCCCTGGTGCATGCCATGTAGAAGAGGCGTTTTATCCATCTGGCAAGGGATGCGTGTGTCACTGGAAGTCAAGTAGCGATGGCTGGGCGGAGAATCGACTCGAAACTGTCAAGGCTTGCCGGGTGATGTTTGAGCGCAAATTGCTGTGGGAGATCGTCCGTAAAAACGCTAGTCTAAGCGTTATACTTCCGGCAAGAGGTTGCCTAGCATTACTACTGGACTGTGGACTGTAGGTCATGCGCACACCTAGTAGGTGCCCCTTCTTGCGGTTTGCAAGCGGGAAACAAGCAACAAATTGGTGCGCTACTGTATACGTATGTTGCCGCTTCAATCAACAAGCCAGGATCTTTCCGAGATGCGGCTTCTTCATGCGAACACCAAACCAGTCATGCGATTCAAGCACACACCAAACCAAGGACGGCACACAACACGTCGGAGAACATGCAGCCACCCCCCTCCCCTTCGTGTGTGGGCGCTCCATTGGGATTTGTCGCATGACCTACTGCTGTAGGTTGCCTACCTGCTGTCCGCAGCTATGCCGTGGCACCTGTCGATGAAGAATTCGGAGGCCTGTATCCAAACATCCAAACCGCCACAAACAAACCATCCACAGCAACCTGAGAGAGAATCCGTGGCACTCATCGCCAACCCCGTCAAGAACAGCAACCTGTAGACCACAAGGGCCTGTATCTATGGCTCACTGCTGCTGTTGATGGTGCTGTTGGGGATTACCTACAAGCGGGAGATTCAGCGTGCTTTGGTCGTGGTTCGAAGACAGCACGCTGTCCCAGGCAGATTTATTTTTCACTACACAAGCAAAGAGAGCGGGTGCTGCAACAGCAAGCAGTACCGAAAACTCCGAACCGAATGCCAGCAAAGACGGTTTTCGATCCGTCATCCAAGGGCGCGCACTCGCCTTCTGCAGGGTGTGGATTGCCTTGGAGTACTTGATCTCCGCTTCGGCGTAGGACTGGTGTTTGAACAGCGAGTTTCCTTCAGACCTGCTCTCCCCTGCTTGTTCAATCAACCGTTGCAGCACCTGCTCTCTCCTCTTTTCGCTGCTCCGCGAGGCAGAACCTTGCGAGGTTTCCGACGGGGAGGAGGCCCCCGTCGGGCCGTACTTCGGTGCCACCATCTTTCCTCTCTCTCGCTCTCTGCTGCGCTGTGCGGCAGGACCAGGCACATTGAAACTTGCAAGGGGGGACTGCAGACACGATCAATGTCGTTGGTGTGAGCATGATTTCGCGGACCCCCTCCGCCGCGAGTCCACGAAGTGGCATGTGCATGTGTGTCGGCATGCAGGATGTCGTAGCATCGATTCGACTGGCAGCGTGTGATTATATCTGCTGGAGGGGGGAAGGCGACCCCAAGGAGAACACACAATCGCTCACAACATGTAGGTGAAATTTTCCACACCTGCGCGGGTACACAGCAGTATTATGCATGCTCCTGTTCGCCGACAACAAAGTTGGTGCATCCGCGATCTTCGACGATCTTTTCTGTCACCTGCCCAGGTCCCTCGGTCCTGTACCCTCGGTCCTGTACAGACCAGTCCTGAGTGAAAGCATTGCGGATGTCTAGACGAGATATCTTTTTCACGTGCTCTTTAGATAACTGTGCTTTATGCAGGGCCCACTTTCGTAGTGAATTTGCGACCGGCCTTGAGAGGCCAGATGATCGATTGAAGAAGATAGGGCAGTGATGGAGGTCAAACCTTGAATATCTTCGAAGGAAAGGCCAGATGGATGGTTGATGTCTTCACATTACGAGCTCGACTCACACAGAACCTTCTTTATTCGTGCTGGTTTGACTACAATAACGCCGGCGCCTTCCGTGGGCGCAGGCTTCTCCTTAAAGAGGCACCTACATACATACAGTGCAGTGGAGTGACGAGAGGAAATGAAAGGGCTCAGACAAATCAACACGAACTCGATGAAAAAAACAAAGACGAGAGTCCCTACTGCACGTCTACACAGTCAGACCTCGCAGGTGACATGTTCGAACAAAAGTTCAACACTTTGACAGTTGCGTCTTTCAATTGTCGTGAGAGTTTCCCCCCGTTCCATACGGAGGCATGAACGCGTTCGAGAAACATGGGCTCGTCGGGGTGTCGTTGTTGATTCACTGAGAAAGGGGGGGAGGTCGTCATGGCGATGCGCCTTCCTTCGGTTTTCATGGCATACGTGTACCCCAGGCTGCCCGGCTAGCTACATTATCTACAAGTTTCCTCTCGTGGTGTTGCCAATCTCAGATATATCGAATCTCCGGTGGGTGATGCCACCGGCCGTTGCTTCATCTTCTCGATGACGGAGGTTCGATATGGGAGAGTTAGACAGTTCCGAAGAATCCCAAACACCGTCGCTGCCTAAGTAATGTCTATTCATGAATCGACGACGAGACCCACAGCAGTGTAGACTACTGTAGTACTATTCCATAATCAACCGTGTCTACCCTTCACTTCACAGTCTCTCTATGTATGGTCTTTGTGTAAAAGAAGTGCAAAAAAAGAGTTGCTAGAATTCGCAAAGAAATTGCAACGAGAGACCTGCAACCACAGATTCGCCTCGTCTACTTTCAGGCGATCGCCTCCCCGTTCGAATTATGTCCCGTCATTCGTTGCGCACCAGTAAGACTTTCCTATTCGCGCGTGTGCTTCAACATCTGTAACCAACAAGACATCCAACGTTCCTAATGCGTTATTACTGTGCCTACTTGCCGCGCAGGTTCGACGGTCGCCCTCATGCAGCGTTCGGCGAAGGGGATGTCGGAGTGCCACAACGCTCGTGTCCCTCCACCCCAAAGCAAGGGACCGATCGTCTTGTGGACAAGGGGCGCGAGTGGTTTGGACCGTGCACCAGAGGCATCAGGCTCGTGATTTCGCAGGTATGCTCGTACTTTCGTGTTTTAGTCTCGTTAGACTGCTATTGCTGTCCAAACAGAAACCAAATACAAGCAGTTCAAACCTCTGTCCGATACCTCCTGTTCTTCCGTGCCCTCACGGCAACGAAAAGGAGTATCATGGTCACCGGCCAGAACAACAACGAAAAGGACAACAGAACGGACCCAGGATTTACATGCTATGCATCTACTGCTATGAGCTCTATCTAGAGAAATTCTCCATCAGGACGCGAGAAAGAACAGCTTCCTTGTAAAGAAATGAAGCCGTATGGCATGGAGCCGGGTGGCTCAAGAGCCTTCCCCTTTACAAGAGGAAAGGTCTGTAGAGCCCATCGCGCCATTCGAAACTGAGCGATAAGGTGACGCCAGCTGCTAGTGAGAGGAACAAGACTGATGTAAAACCACAGCATTATGTCGATTCGACCTGTGCAGCACCTTGTCGCGCCGCCAGAAATACACTTCCCACTCGAGTGCCAGTTGTCCGGTGCTTTCGGAGGGCCTGTCATCACATGCATGTATGGTATACCGTCCAACGTTGCCGCTGTGCACACGCCCTTTCCCACTCGAGCCCAGGTGATCCACTGGCGAAACCTTGATGCGTGTACGCGCGTACCAATACTTACGCAGTGTGTGTGTGCGAAATCCCTACGCGCGTCCGACGTACGTTTATTGCAGACAATAGAACAAATACATCTGAATACACGACCTACCTGTAGATATATACAGTGTATTCGGCAACATGGAAACATGGCTGTAGGTTGTTTTTAACACGGCAATAAGTAGCTGAGTACACGAAGTCGCAATGGCGACGAACAATTCCACGCGTACAATGAGAACATGTTGCGGCTGATTCGCGAAACGAACAGGATGACATGGAGTCGGTTTCTTCTTTGTTCGGGCAAATTACGGCTCTTAGACGGGGTGGCCTGTCTCCGAAAGATGACGAGAACAAATTGGACGCACACGTGCGAGTGGTCATGCGCATCATGAAGGAGCGGTTGGCCTCGCTGACGGAGGGCCCCCTGCAAGTGAGGCCCACTGAACTACATTGCGTACAAGCGACGTATTTGCGGATACCTGATGAGTGTCGTTGGGATTGTCGGGTTAGGCGGACATTCACCGTCCGCTGCAGGAGGGTTGCGATTGATGTTGGGGCGGGAAAAAACACGGCACTCGGAATAAGAGCTACGATGTTCAAAAGGGCTATGTCATGGATGGTGTAACGACTACGGTCAGTATCAAGGATACCTCGCCTGCCTCCTCCGCCCCCAACGCTCCCTGGTGCCTCCCTCTTCGTTTCGCCTCCGTAGGATGCTGAGGTTGTGATGGCGAAGCATGGCCTCTACAGCATCTGCTTTCAGGAGCTAATTTCGATCACTTGCGCGACGAATCCTGACCTCAGGTGCGCCACGGATTGGCTTAGCTGTCCGGGGCCCTGTAGACTACACCTGTACACCAGTTTCACATCTGCTAGTAGTTCTCTGCTACTTGCCTGCACTTCGTCCATCCCAAAAAAACAGGTGTATCATAGCTACCGTTTTGCAAAGATTCTTGCTTTGCTGATGATGCCCTCAGCGCTACGTATACGCGAAACAAACGAAGGACCCCTACAATTCAATCATGTGAAGGGAGATATAGACAACTCAACAAACAACAACCAACATAGAAAACACACGGTTCCTAACTCCTTCCCCCGTGAAAGCAAGAGCAAACTTCTTCTGCCGCGTGCACATGCTAGATATTTCCTGCCAGTCCCCCAAAACAAGTTTTCGGTCAGGTCACGTGCCCCCTGCAGAAACGTTCGCTGAGTGTGCAAATCACGCACGTTCATTGTTCTCCATGCCAACCCCGTGATGGACGGCTACGCGCGCCCTCCTGTTCACCTCAGCTGTGCCTTAGAGAGCCTCCGCGACGCGCACGACGGCCTTCTGCAAGACGTGCCGGGGATAGTCCAACGGACGCTAGACGAGAACCAACAGGTTGGTCCGGAGGCCGTCCAAACCACACCCTTTTTACTCACTTGTGCATATGTCCGAGCTATCCGACGAGCACGGTTGCAGGGTTGCGGTATGCCTTGAACAGTCAACCGCTATCCCATCTCACAAGGAACAGCGAACGAAGGTCCAAGCTGATACTGCGGTTGCGGCGTTCCACCAGAGCGATTGCATCGGGCAGATATTGGCAACGGGTGTCATGAAGTTTTGGCGTACTGGAATCGTTGCAAATCCCAGGCTTGATTGAGCTCCTGTTTGATTATTTTTTCAGACACGACCGAGGGTATGAACGTAGCGTACCCGGAGCGAGTTTCGAGTTTCGCGTCCTCGGGGTGTACCACCAAACAATTACCGCAGGGTGTTTCTTCTACCTGCGTTACACGTTCGCTGCAGGAGATATCCTCTTTACGGGACAGCAAGGAAAGTGAGGCCAGAGAAGCCGGAGAACTCGTTCAGGTAAGCAGCTTGCAGCGTGCAGCATCGGTGGGCTCACAAGGTTCTAAAACAATCAGCGCGTCTTCAAAGTTTTGTTTCTTTGACGCGTTTTTCTGTAATCTGTTTCAAGATTTGTTTTTCTGCTGCCAGCAAGCACAAATACAGTGTAGCGGTTGAACGGTATTTATCACAAGCTCTGGCTTCCACCTGAGGTGAGAGTATTGGCAGCGAGAGCCCCTCGTCACCCTACTTACCCGCACCCTGTTCCTGCGTCGAACTAACCGTTTCCGGTCCGCGTGTCTCGCAGGCGGCTCAAGCACTAGAGAGAGAGACCGTGGCACATCACCAGGAACTGCGACAGTTGCACCGGCGACTGAACGAGCTCGAGGTGATTTGAGGAGAAATTGCCAAGCACAGTAAGCAGCAGAAATTTGAACGTATGAGGTCCGACATACGAGCATTTACTAAATCAGAGTCTGGCCGCTTGAAGCCCCATATCAGGTGTATTTTGTTTTTTTTCGGGGCAAGAACGTTTAGCTGATTGTGCGGTGGGCCAATCTACTGACAGCTTCTCCGACGAACGCGCTCAGAAGCAAGCAACATTTCGACCATGACGCCCGCCGTAAACAGGACGAGAACGCCGCTTTGAAGACCACGCACTACGCTGGGCACTCCTCACTCCAATCAAGGCCTCGGACACCTCTCCACAAACCGATACCGGACGGGTTCACCTGTTCTACCACTTCAAGCGCGAGGGAAAAACATCACGCCCTTCCATCTGCATCGATTACTCGATACCACGGAGGAGAAGGGGAGGGGGGGGGTATAACACCCGAGGAGGGAATTACGCCCGAGCCGTCCTTAGAACATGTTCGAACAGTCTGGTTTCGCTGGGACCAAGGAGGGGATGGTGAGACTGCGGACGGAAAGGCAGCGCCAACACCGGCAGTGGCGATGGCGATCAACGGCACGCGGGAGCTCTCTCTCAAACAGCTTCACGTGAGACAGCTTCATTAGCGTTTCACACACCGGAGGTTTAGTGCGTGATTGCTTTCGGCCCCAAAACTGAGTACAGTACGAGGCTGCGCCACATAACTAGCCTAATCGATTCATCTCGCCTCGTTGCTGGCGACCTTCTCTAACGCCCAGGCTTGCCTTCTTGTTCTCCGACAACCGCGACACGACGGTCTAGCATATTGTTTGGTCTTTTGGATGGCATCTCATATACCCACCCCCCCATTGGTGCGTGCAGGACTTCATCGCTTCAGTGTACGCCTCTAAGGAGAAGTACGACCTTCGTTGCACCACCCAACGTTTGCCGAGCCAAACCTTGGCCAGACACCTTGACGACTTCCTGGTGCACAGGTGCTTCTAGGGTTGTGTCAGGTGTAGCCAAACCACTATCTTTGTATTCCGCCTGTTCACGGTAGTTGAAGGTGACCTCAAAACCAAGCGCTTCCCTATCGACAAATGTCACGGTAGCATGAACGGATGCTAAATACTGAGATTCATTCCGTTTCACGATGGTTTGAGGAGGGCTAGGGTATACCCCAGGGTGTACCTGAATCATTGGCGGAGCCCCTCTAGAGCTCCGCCTCAACACGTGTTTTGGGTGATCGCTCACTGTTAACACGGCCAATCTCGGAAGAGGAACTTTGACCCACCCGCTAAGAAGCAACCAGTCTGTGAGTCAAAGCATGAGAGGTGGATCTGGATAGATCTTGCCTAGACCCCCCTTGCTAATCCCACTTGATTTGACCCACAGGGCTAGACCCACCGGGATTGTATCCCTTTTGCTAGCGCCCCCAACTTGAATCCAATGGTAAGATACCATGAAACTGACCATGAAATGGATGAAACTAATTGAACCCTAGCCAGTGCTTGTTACGCTAACACATGAGTGAGCTACCCTAAGCGATAGCGTTATAACCACTGTGACACAAACGTACAAGCGCATAGAGCGCTATAACCATGTAGGGCTTTTCGCTAACTATTCGGCAAACAGCGGCGTATTCTGATGCCAATTCTGATGCCAAGTGTCTTGGGTGGGAGTTTTTTCCCGAGGGGTTTCCCTGGGGTTTGGTAAGGGAAAATCGTGTGACAATACGTCGTTGGCTGCATTGATGTTGCTTGTTTTGGACAGAGGGAAAATTTCAAAGTGCTGACTCTTGCCATGATGTTGTTTGTTCGTCGCAGATATGGGTTGACTTCGATGGCGAGATCTCAAGCGGCAGCGTTGCGACTAGGAGTCCAGAGATATAGAAACGCTGACAACGCGGTGAAGGTGTTCGAGATGACTCTCCGAAACGAGGTGCGCTGATAAACTTAGGGAATCGCCTATCAAGGAGTGTACGCCCCCAGTGGCCTCGTTATCGAAACAACGACCTCTGTGTTTATCGTATTGCTCCTCCGTGCTACATTATAAGGTTGATGAGGGCTTCCGGGTCGAGCAGCGGAAGCTCGAAAGGACCGTCTTGGACCTCATTCGCGTCAGGATTCGAGAGAGGACAGAACGCCACGACAAAATCCCCAATTATCATGACCGTTACAGCTACCGCCGCTTGGGCGGTACTAGCATCAGCAAGGTCGCGGCAGGAAACAGCGGCAGCGGCCCTAGCAGTAGTGGAGACCATCGGCAAGGAGGTGGGGGTGCTCATTGGTACTCCGGCGCTGGGGCTTCGTCCAACGCCACCACGGAGTCTCTTCTCCGCAGTCAGACTCGTCCGGGTGCGCTACTCGCTGCGGCAGACTGGCAGGCGGTGGTCCAGCACGTGCACAAGGGAGCAGATGTGCAAACGGTTTTATTTCTGATCAAGGAGGCCATTTCGACGCGGGGCAGTCGCAGGGATCGAGTCGACGGCAAGCCGAAGTCGGGCAAAGGGGGAAGCGCAGCGGGAATGGGACAGCAGTCGGTGCCGTTCGGTGTTTTTCTGGAGGTTCTTCTCGGATACCAGCTGCATGGGTATCTACGACGTTTGAATATCTTCAGGGAAGAGTTTCGAGAGGTATGTACAACGGAGTTCCGAACGACGACAGAGAAGTTCCATGCTCGGCGCTGTACCGCGTAGCCCCCCACATATTTGTGCAGTTTAGTCGTATTTCCGGTGGTTGCGTCTTTGTGGTGCCACCTCCCCACCCACCCTGCCCCGCAACCTCTTGCACCTCCGTCTCGATCTACAGGCCGACGTCAATGCTGATGGTGTCCTTAACCCCGTCCAGTTTCTGGCCCTCGCTAAGCGCATGCTGCGGCGGACACAGAGAACGACGACACCCTCACGACAGGACACAGCGCAGAGACACTCCACGAATGGTTCTCCAACGACACCGGGAACTAATGGTCGACACCGCCAAGCTGGGCCGGCGACAAAGGCGAACCTGAGCTGTGTAGAGAAGATAGCAGCAACCCACCTGCGGGCCGCCGATCCCCACGGCTTTGGAGTAATCACTTTTTCTCAGTGTGTTTTGCATCTGGCAAGTAGCGTTGCATAAATATGTACCCATGTCCATGCGGATTGGATAATCACGTTTTCTCACTATACCTTGCATCTGGCAAGCAATGCTGGTCAAATTCATACTCATGCCTGCGCGCAAATACAGAGAGAGGTGTGCGGAGGAGGTGAAGTCGCAGATATTGTTGATGATAGCCATGATCTGCACCAATTTACGAAGAGTAAGTAAAACTGGGCCATGTGTTGTACTCCCGATCATCACGACACAATTTCGCCAAGAAAAACAATGCGTTGTGTGTATGACGTGTGTAACCTCGTTGTTGAAACTGACGATCGTAAGGTTAGTTGATGTTGTTGTTGTTGCAGTGGTGGTGGTGGTGGTTGGTGTTGTTGTCTGCCACAGAACAAACGTCCTCACCGTTTCCAGCTTACTTCTACTTTACTTCCACATGATTCTCAAAAGAGAGGAAAAGAAAGGAGGAGCGAATTTCCGTGGGCACATAAAAAACAATCCCAAACAGAAAGCAGGGTAGCAAGGAAGGCCCAACATATGAGCTTACAGAAGATGCTTAGCCAGTAGATACAGGAGTCCACATCTCCCTTGATTGTGGTAGGCTGCGCGTCCCAAGCCAACACCACGAGAGCTTCTGTAGAAAATGCATCATATACGGGCACAATTAAACGGAAATGACAGACAGACCTTACCTCCCATCGTCTTACCTACAAGGGCAGGTTTGTTTAAGGCGTAGACAAAGGCGTAGAGAAAACAAACCGAGTTTATTGAAACAACTCGAATTGCCATACTGTTTATATTGGGGCACCCGGAACGCATTGCGTACTGCGGGGCCCCCTCGGTCGAGAGGAGGAGTCGCATGTGTTACCATTCTGTTCAAGCCTTGTGTCCACAGAGTCTTAGCGTGCAGAGAGAGTATCGCAGAGACAACTAGCGAGGTGGTCACATAGAAGGCTTCTAGTGGTGTGCCAGCCTCTGGAGCTGACAGGAAGTGGAGTCTTTTCCCGCCCACCCACCCCTTTTCTTTCGAAGGTGGGGGAAAGGAGAGGACGGATTAAGTATCCGGTAGAACTTATTATAGCTGTGTGTATGTGAGGCGAAGAAAATGGTAGGGTACCATTTTAGGGACTTGGTCATCTGAGACTACTGTGTGCAGTAAGATTGGTTCCCTCCACCGCAGGAGAGAGCACCCTCAGTTGCTGTTTGGAGGGAAGAGAGAGACAGTCTTTATTGGGAGAGAGGCAGAGGCACGATAGAAAGGCCGCAGAAACGTGTCTGTCTGCGGGACGTGCTCTCTGCCAGTTTGGTATCTCTCTCTTCCCTCGGGCGGTAGAAAATATTAATAAATGCAATTCGAAAGAAAACAATAAAACAGTATAGACAAAGAGTCTCGGTCTGTTTTCGATATCCAGACCAACCCCGTTCCACGCTCTGGATGTCCGAGAGGGTTGCAAACACACACCAAATACACACACAAGGCTACCAGCTTCAGTAGACTACGTCAGCAAGCTACAGCAGTAAGTGTAGTACCACCCGAATCATGCAGCCACAGGGACTGGCCTGTCATGGGCATGCGTCAAGCCCACACGCCCCTAGACATGTATTATCAGTTGATTGTATAAAATATTTGGTTGCAAGACGTGAGTAGACGCCTTTCATTCGAGCGTGTGTCGGTCTGGATGTCGAGCGATCAAAAGTGACGGTCGACAGGGCAAAAGGATTGGATCTTTTTAACACACAACCACATATGGTGCAACGTGCCCCCATGTGACCCACCACGCCCACCCACGATCTCCACCGTTGTGCCTCTGGAGCAGGAGAACGAGACGACTCAGAGCAACAGAGCAAGACCCAGCACTTTCAATGTTTCGTTCGCCATTAACAGGGGGCGCTGGCTAGACAAATGTGGCCAACTGCTCTAACTCTAGACTGTGGTAGGCAGAGAGATACGGGGCAGCATGTGTGCGTTTGACAACGTGCCAGGTGAGAGGGGCTCCGCAGAATTATCTCGGATCTTAGATCGCCCCGACATCGGCGATATCCACCCCGCGATCTTCAGGTCCGGCAGGTGAGTACCACACCAAGAGGACCATGCGCACGTGCATGGGCGTACAGAACGACGCAAAGGGCACGCCACGTCGAATGATGAAGAGGAAGAGGAGTGAAGGTCTCTCGCAATCAGCAAACAAGAGGGTGGTGATCCTCCTCTCGATCTACAAGGTCGTCGGAGCAAACGGACTGTTTGCCTGTGATTCGGGAGGTTGGGATGTGACACCAAGCGAGGCGTACTCTTGGAGCTATGCACCTCCGCAGGGTTGCAGCTGCGAAGAAACAGGAGTGCCTCTAGCAGATTGCAAGGTGGGTGTAGCGTCGAAAGGCAGGCAAGTCACTCGAGTTGGCCTATGGCGATGATGGAGGCACCGTCTCGATAGAGGGAGAGGGATCCAGATGTTCTCTACAGCATACACGGCAGAGCCTTGTCCTGGTTGAGCGTGTATTCACCTCTTCTGTATGCACATCTCATCGCCCAACCTCACCGGGGCAGCGCTTGCCCAAACTACTGTGTTTGGTGAACGGATCGTAGACAAAGGCGTTTATCTGCAGGAGACATGCCACTGCTGTATTCTACAGTACTCCAGCTAGACTTGTACAGTAAGTTCTACACTTGTGGAGGGTTAGAGCCTGTTTATGTGTATGCTACCATAAAGCGTACACCACTGTGGTCGACCAATCACCTATTATTTATAGTACACGTACAATAGATGCCTCGAAGTAGATCCCTGTAAACGAGCGTGGTGAGCATACGGATCCTCGGAGTATGTACGTTCTGTGGTAGCCTAAACGTTTCAAGCTGAACTGTCTCGAACCAGCAGAATACTGTATGTCCTCTCTTTCGCTCGTGACACTTTGTTTGTTTGTGTGGTTATATTATTGCAACCATCCCTATCCCTACAGTTGTACGAAAAATACATTGAAAAGTGTAGTACTCTGTACATACACTGAAAGTGTAGTACACATCTCACCACGAAAAATGGGAGGACTGTCGCAATAACAACTCTTAGGACGAAAACACACAAACATCCCTTCTTCCCACGGAAAGCAGATCTTTGACTGCGGGTGCGTGTGCGATCTAACGGCGGGCCAATGCGACACGAACTGCTGCTGTGATGCCGAGTGCACTCAAACTGAGTTAGAGCGCTTCGCGGAGCTGGATTCATGTCTGGATGAAGGTCCGGCGGATGAGGTCACGACCACCTGCTACTCCAGCGGTAGGTTGTCCTTGGTGGCAGGGCTGTGAGCGAAAGTCCGACGTACGCTCAGTTCCATTCCCCTGACACCTGAAATGAGCTCAACCGCCGGACAGGATAGTGTGTGCTTCGCCTCACATGAATACGACATAGACCATGCCTCTCGTAGTGAAGCATAGAGTCACTTTTACTCTATATGCTCGCATGGGATGGAACTGGGGTTACGGGAAATGTCTTCGTCCTGGCAAGCAAGTTAGCACCCGTATCAGATCGAGTATATATCAGCTTGGACAGCCCCGGCACCACCATTTCCAGTGAGTGGTAAGTCAAACACGGAACCTTTCGGAGAGGAACGAGAGGGACATGTGATGCCTCAGGAGGCGCCGGACCGGGTTTGGCGGTTCCTAGGGCGGCTTGGCACGGACATGATGGCGCGAGTATCGCTGAACCCGAAACACGTGTCGAGGACCACAGAGATAAGAAATATAGCGTCATTGCTTGATTCAGCACCGGCAGAAGTCGAACAACCCATACCACGGAAGGAGCCCTGGCCACGCGTGTGGGATTCTTCCCTAATCGCGTATTCATCCAATCGTTCGATTTGGGGCTACAACAAATTAAGAACTTCATGGCATAGTCGGGCAATCCTGTGCAGGCACATCCCCTTGCTACACGAAGTCTCCCGAGCCATGGGAACATATGGTACTCGTCCCCGGGCTTAAACAGGGTTGGATCCTCGGCGATGATAGTGCTTGTACCCCGGGAGAAATGAGCCTTCTTCGCCCGGCCCTCGACCATAGGCTTCCATTGCTGGGGTGCTCAATGTTTTCCACGCAAAAAGCCGTTTGCTGCTCCCCATGGTTGCAAACTGTATCGCCGCGGGGTACCTCCATACTCTCGGTGCAGTGTGAGGGCATACTCTCGGGGCAGTGTGGGGTGCACTGCGAACAGATTAGGTCTGGTTTCATTGACAGGATACAACCACAATATACACGGCACTGGTTAAAGGATGGGGGTGCCTTGCGTTGGTCTGGAATGGTTTGGGAAGGAGAGTGTTTGTCAATTGCTCGTCGAGTTCCTTTACCGTTTATTTATCGCGACAACTCTACCCACGTATCAACGTCCGTTTCGCTGTCGAGTTAAAATTTCTGGCCGAGTGGTAGTCGCCACAAGTGTTCTACATCGAAAGCATGCAAACCCTACCATCGCCACACCAATAACAGACCATCTGGACAAGATCAACCCAAGTTACCCCCTTACTGGCGGGGGTGCCGCCCAAGGGGCCGTGGACGGCCTACTCTGCGTGCAATACGACAACAGTGCTTCTAAGGGAGAGTTTTTCGAGGTACGTTGTAGGATCTAGGTAAACTGTGGTGTCCAACAGTTACAGCAAGCGTTCTCGTGACCGCGGGCTGGACATTTCGGGATGGCACAGGGGGATCGAAACCAGCAACGCCACAACCAGACCACCTTCTTCAATACCACAAGTAAACTCTGACAACGAGATGCCCGTGTTCATAAAGAGAAGTTCTGATCTTGGCGCGATATTTTTTCAGAAATAGAGCGTAGTTTCGACAACGTTTATTGCCGTATGTTCTTGGTGTGATTTTTTCTGTTCTCGCTGGTCCGCGTCGACGATAGATATCGAAGGGGCACCCCCGACGCCGTTGCATTGCTTCGAACGGAATCGATAAGGAAGACCCCTCTCAATGCCACGAAATGTGCCATTCTCGTGCGCTCTTCAACCTTTGGACGTCACCAGTTGTTGACCACTATAACCTCATTTACCGGGGCCGCCTGGTCTTCACAGTAAAACTTCTAGTATTTTTTGGGTCTCAGTTGTTTGGCATCCCGAAACATGAAACGCGTACAGGTCTCCCTCTACCGAAGGTATCTACCCAACATGTGCTCCGCACCCCTTGGCCGTTTGTGTTGCAGTATTTGCTCCCCCTATTGTTTCGGCCATCAAATAGCGCTCTCTCCCTCCCCCCCTACCCCCTCTCTCTCAGGACCCTGGCACGCTGCCGATATCTATTTTTGGCGACAGCGGAGCGTCCGAGTTCTCGTACCACGACAACCTGGCAGCATCGGCCGCATCGGGGGCCACCGAAACCGACTCCTTTTTCGATACGGGGTGAGGATGCATTGAACGATTGAGCTGGATCCTATGAAAGTTCCATGCAGTACGACCATGAACACGAGTCCAAGTTGCCACAAAACGAACGGAGAAACAGGCCATCGACCGTTGGACTACGCCTTTCTAAGTACCTGGAATTTTTCCACTCACAAACAACAAGCTGCCAAGACAACTCTGGCTCAGGATATGCTCAATCAAGCTTGCTTTCGATTGTTTCGTCTCATATCTTGCGCGGCTCTTGATAACATGCGAGTGAAGGCCGACAGGAAGGCAGGAGGGCATAAATCTTGAGAGCTTTCACCTTGAGGGTATCAAGCATTTTGAACAGACTATGCCAACGTACGTTTGAACGCTATAAGGTTGTGTTCTTCCGAAGGCAGCGCACGCGATTTACTTCGGCATATCATTTTCTTGTCCTTTCCTCGGTCGCTTCATCTACAGCGACAGAATACCTGCCGCCTTCCTGGCCGACGATGGCGGCACAGTTGCGGCTTTTGGCGGCTTCTTTCCGGTGAGCAAGTCTTATATCACTATTTATGTGTTTCATTGAAAGTTCGCCCCATGACCATAACATTGGAGTTCGGCTTCATGTTTGTCTCGGGATTTGAGCCAAGCATGCCTGATAGAAGAAACCTCTGGTAGACTGGGATGAAGATCTCTTCCTCTCGATGATGTCGTGGAACGACTTCATTATGCCCCGGAATGGGTTCAGATTAGTACCCGTTGCGAGCTGTTGGGCGTGTACAGTCGAGCGATCTGACTAAATTACACCGCATGTTTTGTGTTCGTGACTCTGCCGTCGTGGAGATTTCTCTATGACTCTCAGTCGAAGGTGAAGGACTCATGCCGGTCTTTACGAGGAGGCGAAAGGGAACATGGTCCTCTAAAATTACCCACGAATCCACTGTTTACGTTTACCCACGAAAGACTTGGTACTTTTACTGCGAGTCAACGAAATGTTACTGCAAGGGCCATGACTGACTGATAACGCCATCACCGACGGCAGCGGTGACCAACGGCTGGGGCCAATGAAACGAGGTTATTCGTTGTGTGGTTTCGAGCTTGGTATTCCCGCGATAAAAAGTGAAGGAATATTCCCGCGATAAACAGTGGAGGAGTACGCCTACGCTGGGGAACAACGATAAAATCTCGCAGCCGTGATGCAGAAGCATATTTCCGAAATGAACCGCAAAGAACCCTATCCATGATCTTGCTGTTTTGCTGAGAGCAGCTGCCGGTGGCCGATGACACCGGCCAATGTAACGAGGCCAGTTTCGTGGAGTTCGCAGTCCCCGTCCCCTCGACAATCGGAGAGGAAAATACGTGCGCAAGGGAGGTGGAAAACCTCGCAAGTCAGTGCTCGTCGGTGTTCTCGTGGGGGCGTTTCACGAACCAGCTTTACGTGGGAACCGATGGAACAGTGGCACCCGCGCCGCTCGTGATCGGCGGCGAGTATACCGCGGTGAGATCAGGACCCGTACCGCCGAGGCCTGGGGCAAGGGGGAGGGTAAACAGTAATCATGCCTCAGATGAAAAGGACAACACCGTTCGTATTCCTAGTAGGGATGCCCATGTTGTATTACGCTCTTGATAGTTTGCCATTTTGCGCATATCATTTTGCTTCTCCTTTCTTCGAAGGCACGCGAGGGAGTTCTCCGTCATACCTGGCGGTTTCACGGGGGGGGGGGGGAAGGAAGTTTTCTTTCTCATCAACGTGGCTATTAACCCACTCACCATCTTGCACATGTACCAATGTGCCCGAAAGGCGGCGTCACCCCAGCACCCACCCAAGGTCGCTCAGAAGCAAAACTAACCAAGGACAACGAACCCTTATACAGTCGCGCCAGATAATAAACCAAGAACGATACAACATCGTTCCGAAGGACGGTAGGTGTGGCCGCCTTTCAGCAGTACAGGCAACCCTCAAGCAAAGGATTAGAGCAGTATTCACCGAGTATACGTAAGGACGGGATGAAGGTGCGGAATGTCGGTCGCTTGTGGCGGAATTATTGTGTAGGGTTACCTAAAGCAGAGACATTCAGACTTCGCCGAAGGATGAGCCATACGCTCGTGCGCGGTATTGACGCTTCTCTTTGAGGTGTTGGTGACGACGGCAGCGTCTCGAAACACAGCAAGAAACTCGAAGACTAAAACGAAAAATAATATTTACGTATCGGCACCCGCACGCTCTGCCCGGTGCACGCACCGCAACGACAGGTGGAGATATCGTCCGTAACATGGCGGGATTGGGACACCGGCCAAGAGACGGACTTCATGGACGTCAACTGTGGAGTGTACTACTACGACGGGGCGGCTGTGGACACAGTAACGACGAACTCCGCCTGTATTTTGGGAGGGGGTACCGGGGAGACGGTTGCCTCCGCCACCGATGTCTCGGATGGGTGCAAGAACGCGCTGGCGTCTGTCTGTTACACCGTGAGTACATGTGAGGTAGTCTTGAGCACGCGTCTAGTTGCACCTGTCTCGCTGCAGCTTGCCAGGGCAGCTCGGGATGACTTAGTACCGCCCGCGCGTGCTCTGAACATTGTGGAGCGAGTCTTGAATTTTCGTCTCTCAATTGCACCCAACCAATGTTAAAACAAACACACGGCTGTGATAGTTGGTTGTCATGGGCCAACGTTTCCTTAGTCGAATACGCGATTCTCGTCCGCTACGACGCTTGTCTGCGATGCGAAATGGGCCAAGACCCGACGTGGTCCGTCCTTGCATTCAGTAAATCAGGGCTGCCCAACGCTGTAGCTTCGGCTCACAAACACCACGACTGCACGCCCCCCCCACCTCCCATTGCCCGGAACAGAAACTCCCTTTGCCCTTCTGTTTCCTCTCTTGCCCTTCCTCTCTCTGTTAATTCCTCGCCTAGATAACTCACGACGGCGAAGGAGGCGTATCCGCCGTTTCCGCAGCGGTGGTGCTCACGGACATCCCTCCCGGCCCGAACGGCGGCAGTTTCTCTGCCGTATCGCCTCAGCAGTTCTCCGTGGAGTTTCGTCTGGACGAAACATCCGACTCGTTTGCGGACATGACGCGTAGCCAGGACCTGGGAAACTTGGTGGAGAGGGGAAGGTCTGGAAACCCAGGGTATTTGCCGGGGCTCCCCGTGCTCGCCGGACGGCTGGAATCGTTCGGTGAGTGACGTTCCGACACGCTTCGAGATAGTCAGGTCTTCCGTCGGTGCTGTACAATGCTGTACGATGCCCCACACGATTTCTCTTGAGCAAGCGCTGTCGCGGTTGTAGGACAGGGCTGTAGGGTTCGGTCGTCGGATTCGACGTGTTTGGTGAATTTTCAGAAGCCGAGATTTGTTTCACAACCGTTGATTCCGGATCGCCTTGTAGCACAGTGGTCGGCGGCGTGAAGCTGTTGTTGCCGCTCACTTCAAGCATCGTGCTCACCTGTGCTCAAGACCCCATAATTTCGGTAGGAAGACGAATCACGCGATACGTATGAATATGTAGCCTTTGAGCTCGGAAAGCGCATGCATCGACAGAGGCCGGCAGGGTGATCGGCATGTCTGGTTCATGCGTTCATCGACTTCGTGTACTCGTAGCAATGTCTTTCACCCTCGCATTCTCGTTTCGTCTCAAAAATTTGTCCCGAAAGGCACAATGCCGTCGAGCAGTCAACTCTCGGGAGTCGCTCCACAGTATTCTTTCACTTCGTAGCAACTCGTACAAACAGAGGTGTGTGGGCAATGGGTGAACATTGAGCAACCATGGGATGCTCAACCACCTCGCCCCCTGCGCGCTCCTTGCCAGCCTGGCCAGCGAATAGCGGGCCACGGTGCGAGGCTTCGGTAGCCTGAGGACTAAGTCCATGGATGATTCTGAGTGCTTGCTGTTCTCCACAATTCCTGCTTCGCTCGCCATGTTTCGTTTCTACGTTGACTGAGCGAAGACGACGACGAGTACATTGCTCCCGGAGGGAGCAATGGTGGCGGGGGCCTAGAGCTGATGGCCGGGGAGGGGCGTGGCTGTGACGACGTTGGAACAACTCCGGTGGAGTTTGCGTATGACGGTGTCGGCTGCTGTGTTCTCTCTCTCACCCGAGAAGCCCTGGCGGAGGTGAGGCTGGGAGAGACCCTGACAGAGAGAGAGAGAAAGAGAGAGAGAAGCTACAGACCGAGAGAGAGAGCGAGAACAACCCGCAGATCAGACAGAGACAGAAAGACAGACAGACAGACAGACAGACAGGCGCAAGAGAGTGAGGCAAGAACACATGTGTCACAACTACCTCAAATCTGATAGTGTACTGTTTCTAACTCGCGACCCAAGCATGCCAACGACTGGTTAAATGGTTCGTGACCCGGGGAAATTGAAATCAACCTCGGAGGTGCAAATGTTTGTCTTGTTGTCATGTTACACATCTCGGTGGACATATATTGGTAGAGGCAACCTTGGAATCACCTGTTGGCTTTGTTTGTCGAGTCTCTCCGTATATGTTTAAAGACCCAGGAATGCCCTTGCACCAAAAACGAAAGCAACTGAGTCTAGGAGAGAGACGGGTTGATGGGTAATTTCCGTAAGCAACACCGAACGGCTCAGAATCGAAGAGGGAGTTGATGCGAACAGTTGCGACCCGCTGCATACTCCGGTTAAATGCCAATCTAAACGAAACCGTCCGCGTTGCGCTTGCCCGAACGTGCTGTGTGGCAGCACTGTACAGGTTCCGGGCAGCACGTGGACCCTGAGACGGGCTTCACCCCTTTGGCGTTTGGGAACACGTCCTCAACGGTGGAGTACTTGGGCATCTACGGCAACGCCGACCCGTTGGACGTGTCCCAATGGGTCGAACTCCCGTTAGCTTCCAGCGCAGACACGGCATCCTGGGACGACGAGAGGTGGGTGTGTGCGGGCGCCGAACTACCACCACCGTGGGGTGATCGAAACCTTTCTAAGTCTTCGTCCACCCTTTTCCCTACGAGTTTCTTTCTTCTCCCTCTTGCCTATCTTTACCGCATTTTTCCTCCTGCTGGTGAGAGGCGGGGAACATCCTGTTTACCGCTTTCTGATTTGGAACGCTCTCTGCCCTTCCTCAAGTTGAGTGTAGAAGAGCCACAAAGCTATACAATTAAAGCTGTTCGCAAGGGTGAGATAAAATTCCAATTATCTCCTCCGTCCGTCCGAACATCTTTTCTGCGGACCGTCCGCCCCTCCGTCCCCCTTGCTCACCCTTGCCCCCGCCCCCCCTCAACAAAAGTGGGATGTGCTCCAGCATGGTGTCAACCTTGGAGTACAGAGTGTTGTACACCGCCGTGGGATCTAAGGCAAACCCGCAGGTGACAGATGGGGGTCGTTAGGGAAAATGGCGGCGGTGCTGCCACACGGTGCGGTTTCGCCAGGAAAGGCGTGTCTTGGGGGGAGCGTTTCGGGTCCTTTCCCCGCTCTTGCCACCCGTTTCTGTCGTTTCTCCGCATGTACTCGCTCGGTACAGCGTATGGTATAGTATGTCTTGTGTTGAGTGCGTTGTTTGTCGGTCTGCCGCAACGCAACGCAATCTCGGTTTCCACTCTCCGTGCGTCTGATACTCACGCACGCACTACTTGTTTCATAAATACTTAACATGAAAACAACAGAGCAAGATTGTTTCTGCCGCTGCTCGGTATGGCAAGTCGGACTGGATCTGGCGCGAAGAGTTTGCGGATGAGCAAAATTTTCTGGTATGCAATACCGTGTCATTCAAGATGTACGAGCAAGAGGTGTGTACTGCATTTCTATCACTAAGCGATGGGGTCAATGTGTAACTTTGGAAGAAACAAAACCGCGTGTGGGTGTTGAGGGGTGCAGGAAAAGCAATTGTTTCTTTCCAAGAGCGATATCATGTATTTTCCCGGCACGTTCAAGAACCAAAACAGATCCAATTGTTTTCTGTGTTGTCTGTCATGCTGGTCATGCTTCCTCTCGGCCTGTCGTCCAGACCTTTATGTGTGAGTGGTTCCTCTGCCCCCACTTATTTATGCGTCGTGATTGCTACCTGCGCCCAGCGTCGATGTGATTACATTACTGTGCGAAACCCTGATTTGTAGTAGACCCATACCTTACTGATCCTGTACCTCTATCGTTGTCCTTGCGACCCCTGCGATACATGACAACTCTGACACTTGGTCTCGCGTCTACTGATTCCTCCCCTGCCCTTGGCCCTCACGAATCATCAATTGATCCACAGACGCTGCGGTACACTCCACCATCCCCCCCAGTGGCGTTCACTGTTCCATGGGACGTATTTTATCCGTTCTACATATCGACGTCCGGCGGCACGGCATCCACACCCTCGCATAGCACTATGGACGGTTTCTGCATCGCAGTTGCTCTACTTGGCCTGTCTGCGTTCTGGACTTTTTCGGCGAACAGCTTTCCGTTTTAGAGTTGGCACCGTGGGGCGGTGGGGAGAGAGGAGGACGTAGAACTGGATGGAGGTCGCCGTGCAAGCACATGGGTGCGGAGGTGCTACGGCCTGTTGGACATTTAATTTCCGGCGAAAGAGACATGATGGATGGCTTGGGCGAGGTTTGGGAGCGTTGTCCGAGATGAACAGTGTTGAAGAACACGCACCGCTGTGTCTAGTCCGCTCAGTTTGTTGCGCCTGACATGCCTCAAACTATGTAGTCCATAGACTGGTTCGAAAGAGGTTATGTAGGGAAAAGGACAGCTGTTAGAAAGTGGCAACCTCTCATTGTACCGTAGTGCGGCTGGCGTCGTTGACGGTTTCAGTGCGGCTCATACCTGCAAAGTTTCAGCAGATAGATTTGGAACAATGAGCAAAAAGAACCTCACCTTAGCCGGCCGCATCGTTCACCGTAGGTACGTGTGGTAGGTGCAGACCTTGGGTACATCTTTTTATTCTTCGCCCAGAATTCGAGACCTTCGATACAATAACTACCAGATCGTACATGTAGTCGTCGATCGATCGCAGAAACTATTGCCATTTTGCTGCCTCCACAATAGTACCCAGCCGGTTTCCTCCATTCACTGTAAAGACTTCATCACATCCCGTTCGACTGTGGTCATATCTCGACTGTATGAAGTCTTTCTGTGTTTGTTTGTATTTATGTTTCCTAACAATGCCAATTTCCAACCCTGCGTCCGGCGACACGGCGACTTGTTCCTGCCCGTGCCAGAGAGAAATAGACTCAACTATTACACACTGGCACAGCACGCGGTGACGACGGTGGCAGGGTAGATTTCCCCGAGAGCCTGCCTAGAGACGGAGAGCTGATGATGAGGACACTCAATGAGAAAATGAATTTTCAGTCCAAGCACGCGGTGTGTCTTTCGCCCTCCGATACCAGCTATCGCCTCGTGTGTCATTTCTAATCTCTGCGATTTGAACTGTGTTCATGTTAACCACGTGATCACCTCATGTTGAACGTTCGTGCGCGGTCGTCACAATAACATCCTAAAGATCGGGCCACAAACATGCAATCCAGATCCACACGCAGCATCTGGGTTCCCACATGTACCTCCCCACCGATCTCGAGATCCATGCACGGGGCCCCGGCATGGCAATCGCACCGCATCGTTCGCAGAGCGTGCGCAGCTCGGATGAGAGTGATCACCTGTGCTTGCTTGTGGCCGTGTGCGACCAGATAGGAGAGGCGCGAATAGGGATCGCCATGATGAACATACGACATCCATCTATCCGCGGCAAGCTAATGAGGGAGAGAGGGGTGATACTGCTGTTGTTTTTCTTCAGCGAGATGCAGGTGCGGTACGTATATCATTCCCTTTTAGTAAGAGCCCCGCCAGCTTCAGTCGATTGCATGTATCGAGAGATAGCACAGCAGCTGGCGTGCCCGGGCTGCGGCGTATGGTGTCAAGGCCGTTCAATACGCAATGCCGTCACTTGGTTTTGCTGCACAGGGACAAAGAAAAGTCAGTAAGCAAGAGAGTAAAGGTTCAACAGGAGTTCAGAGTTCAGAGTTCAACAAGCCCGACATCAACAGCAGTGGCATCAGAATATTTTTACGGCGGGGGTGATGATTCGCCGATATCCACGGCGAGAGCCATTTTTTTTTTCGTCCTTGAACAAACGCGACGATAACACACACCGGAATTAATCACACCCGCAATCGCAGTTGTCGCACCAGTGGGCCAGCTGGTAACTTCGCAAGCTTCTGTTGAAGCGTGAACTACAACCTCGGCGTTGTCTCACAAATTAATATTCTCAAGTGGTATCCACAAGCAACCCTGAAACGCACCAGCCGGGGTCGCAGAGGCGGAGGCCACACAGGAGGTTCGTTGATTTAATTCTCCCGCCTTCCTTCTGTGATTGCCATAGTTCCATCGCGAACGGTTCAGTGACCCCCTTCTCTCGTCGATAGTTAAGACAACACCACTACCAACAACAGCAACAACCCACAAGCAACCCTGAAACCCGATGATTCCACATGTGCCCATAGTTTGACTTTCGCTCGACGAGGGAAAGGGGTCACTCAATCCTTTTCGCGATGAAATTATGGCAACCACAGAAGGAAGGCGGAAGAATTAAATCAACGAACCTCCTGTGCGGCCTCCGCCTCTGTGACCCCCGGCTGGTACGACCGTCAACGAACCAACAAGTGTAGACAAAACAATCAAATTGACGCCCGGGATGATGTGATGACACACACGCACAATGTGGCTTCGTTACCTGTAGCATCTACTGGCTACACAGATCTTGTGTTGACTGGCTCTTCCCATTGCAACCTTTCGAACCCTTTCCACCACTCCGCCCCACCCCTTTCAACCGTTCAAACGCGAAACAAATCGGCTTAAATCCCCTCCTCTCCTCCTCTCTTCACCGTTGAACTCGCGATGACTGTACATTCCAATACGCACCGGCAGCACCAATGCTGTTCGGCGTTCTCCTTGACCGCGCCGCGCACGGGTTCTGGGAGAGCCAACGCGCAGCACACCGTGAGGCCACGACGAAGGCAGCGGAGCTACCAGCACCAATCGAGCATCGTGGGTGTAGGTGCGCCCCTTGCGACTGCCAGCAGCAGCAGCAGCAGCAGCCACCCTGCTTGTAGCATTCGCTCGGCGTCATCGGCAGCAAGGGGGATGCACGGGGGAGAGCTGCGTGCCCAGGATATCGACACCGTGGAACAGCGGGTGCGATTTTGGATATTTTTCAGTTTTTCTATGCAACAGAAAATGATGGATTCCGTCGAAATCGCACAATAGAGAATCAGAACTAAATATGCAAATGTTGCCATGCCCGCGGCGGTAGACCCCACTAATACCGTTGCACCTCTGCTCGAATGAAGTATTTGGGAGAGAGCAGATCGGAAGGAATAGGCAGACACCGCACCGGAGAGCTGCACACTCAGGATGTCAGGCTTTGGTGGCGGTGACTGTGCTGAAAGCACCGAAAAATCCATGGCCAGAAGGAATGGCTAGCTTCGTGTCTACACCGATGTATACAGGAGCTCGCTTCTTTCTTGTTGTGGATGGTTTTGTGCCATGAGCATGAAGAGCAGCAGCAGCATGAGCACGAGTACGTGGGGAATCCGGCCGCGCAAGAACTACGCAGGTTGGGGTGCGTCCTACGCTCCTCTTGTAGCATCTCGATCAGTATTCTGGAAGCAGTGGCGTTCTTTCGGCATCGCACGATCAAACCAATCAACGGAGAAGGTTTGGCATCTTGGAACGGCGTTCGGAACTGGGCAGCTACGCGCTGTCGTTCTTGCTGTCGTTCAACCCTTTCGCGTCCCTCTTTCTGCTGCTGTTGCCTACGCCCACGTGCAAACACGCGGCCACTGCCTGAGATCACAGGAGGTTGACTCGGGTCCGAAAGACGAAAGCGGCAGCGCCGCCCCCGACACCAGCAAGCAAGCGGGCTTCCAGTGGAGGAGGCAATGGTACCCTGTGGCTGTCATGCGGGACCTAGAGGCCAGGGATCCACGGATGCCGTACCCTGTCCAGGTTTGTTTTTTTGCTCTCTTTTTCATGCGCCCACTCCCAGCGTTCCGTTGGGCTTCTAGTTTGGGGGACGGAGATGAGTCTCTTGCGGACCACCCTAGGTCACCCCTAGCTTGATCGCCCTTTGCAAAGTTCTTGTTTTAGTTTGAAGCGGTTCGATCGCTAGCGGTGATTTTGTGCGTTGTTTTGGCGGAACGTGCGGCAGGGAATCCATCTACTTTTGTACGGCCGAGTTGAAACCACGCTTGTACTCGATTCTGACACGTTGTGCTCTACACCGTTGACTTACATTATTTTTTTACACGTAGTCGATGTCTAGTCCTTAGTAGTCGGAATGACGCTGTGTCAAACAATCCCCTCCCGCACTATGTGGCTCTGGACGTACTCCCGCGCACCCTTGCTCTATTCCGCACCACCTCTGTTCGACCCGGTCTTCAGCTGATGGGAGAAGGATTGGTGGTATGGAAGGACCCAAAAGATGGTGGATGGAAAGCTTTTGCCGACAGGTGCCAGGTCGAAGGACGATTGTTGTTGTTTTTGTTGCAGCGCTGATAATGACGTGTTTTGTGCCAGCGTTTTTTGGATGCGGTGTTGTAGATGTGCTGCTACCGCGACGTTGCCGTTCGTTGTTGGTAGCAGGCACTGAACTCTAGCGTTGGCCGATTTTGTGGTTGCCTTTGCGTGCGACCCGTGGTCCACTCTCCCCGTTCCCCATGAACAACACGAAAACACGTAATTAATTCCGCGCTACCTATTGGTGTTACCTCTAGAAGGCAGGCGACAAATGTGAACGCCCGCACCCCCCACGGGGGCATGTAGATATGCTGCGTCCCTGCAGACGGGAAAACTACGCTACCGACCGAGACACGACACGTGATGTGACGGTGGTGGTTGGCCAGGGTAGGGTGGTGAACGGCAAGTTGGTTAGTATAAATCGAAGGACACGGGTGGGGCACGGCGGGGTTAGGGATGGGGCTGTTTGGATGCGGGTATGGTCGGGCGGGTGGTGGCGGGTGGCCAGTGGATCGGGACTACGCCCGTCATTCTAACGCAACGAATCATCCCTTAGAATGATGTCTAGTGATGGGTTGGGGCACAGATGATCGGTTTTGATGTGGCGAACCTTTCTCAGGTGTCCGCATCGCTGGGCGCCCCTGTCGGAGGGGCGGGTCGATCAAGAGAGCGGGCGCTTGCAGTGCATCTACCACGGCTGGGAGTTTGAAGGGTGAGTGAGAGAACTACAAGGAGGACGAGGATAGAGAGAGAGGGGGAGAGATAACCCACGCAGTACGAGGGACCTCGCTGCGATGGTGGCTCGTTCACGGGTTCACCCGGCGGGATTTCCACACCGCTGGCATCTGCGTAGCGTACTCGACAAACGTCGCGCGTTCATCCATCAGTTGTTTGGTCCCCTCCGTAACCTTGGCAACTATCGACTCTTTGCGGACGGTTTTCTTCTGCCACCCCATGACCAGAGACGGAAAGTGCGGGAGCATTCCCCAAGCAACACCGGGGAGTCGTGAGACCGCGCAGAACTCGAAGAGGTGAGTTTAGGGACACGAGGGACTTTTGCTCGTAGGTGTTTAAGAAATCTGATCCTTGTCCCGTGCCAGGGGGCACGCGGTGAAGGCAACGCCCAGGCGCCGTCATTGTGTGCGTGTGTGCGATGTGTCTTCTTTTGGTCGACACCGCTTACCAGCTCACAGAACGGAAATGCGCAATTTTAACGGACAAAGTGTCGTGATTTTCCTCAGAGGTCTGCGGAAGGGAAGCGGGCAGCAAGAGACTACAATAGCGTCAGCATGAGGAGTGGTATCATAGGTTAGAATGAAAACAAGTGTCATGGCACTGCACCAGTGTACGTTCGCAAGTTTTTGTTTCGTTTTGTTGTGCCTTCCAGAGAGGTGAACCCGTTTGTTTTCGTGGAGAGCGTGTTGTACATCTTGCATTGCATTCGAACGGAAGCTGCCTACGAATATCGGTGGTCATACGGTACCTCGTCACCCCACCCCCTCTCGTATGAGGGTCATGCGACCCACACATCGGTCGTGTATCACAACAATAGCTTGAACCTGTTCGCTTCTACATGTATCATCCTTGAGTACGCACCCACGATCAATGTGCACCCCATCCCGCCCCCCTCCGCCCGCCCCTTCATACCGACTTTTCGCTAAAATAGGGCTCGCGCCACAGAGTCATCCCAACCTAGCCCCGCCCCCCCCCCCTCTTCCAAGATCAACGAGTTCCCCGCCCCCCTCCTGTTCGTGGGTATTCTCTTCCTCTCCCCCTGCACAGGGCTTGCGCGACGGCCATCCCGACCAAGGTAGTAGAAGGCAAGCTGTGGTTGTGGCCGGACCCCAGCCCGGAGGGCGTCAAGGAGAGCGAGACCGTTCCGCCCGCGACCGTGCCAGGCCTGGACTTCGGTTCGGGAGACTTCGGCGGCAACTGGTACTGCCGAAAGTTGGCCTACGGGTTCGACACGCTCATCGAGAACCTCGCCGGTGCGGTTCATGAGTGGTGGTCCGGTGTTTGGATGGTTCTGATGTGCTGTTTTCCAAGAAGTTCCGGCTTGACGTTCGCTTTAGCAAACGCAGTCATGCGGTGCTTGTGTAAGTCTGCGGCGTGCTGGCGCATGGTCGGGTCGGAGTTCGTTCTCGGACGGGCTCGACAAAGCTCGCCGGTGGGATGGGTAACGGAGACCTAGTAGTGATTTTGTCCTTTTCGGTTTTGTTGGTGGCGCCTCTCATGGAATACGTACATCGTCGTGTTTTTCTTCAGAGTGTTTGTTAGGAAAGGTAGATGGGAGCGCAAATTCACGATAGCCACGTTGTGCCTCCATTTCTGGAAAGCATGGAGGGCGTCCACCCATCGACAGGTACGGACGGCATTCGAATCCCCTGGTAGGTGAAAACGCAGATTGTTGTGTATTTTTTGCATGGGTTCGTGGTTTTGAGTCCGATGCTTGATTTGTTTCTGTCGGGATTGTGAAATGTTTCGATACGCGAAGGGAACGGTCTGTTAGGAGTCGCGATATTGCGCGTAATGTGTCGGAACGCTTGTTGTGGTATACTTCGTATTTGCTTTTCGAGCTCTCAGAAAGAGAGAGAGAGAGAGAGAGAGAGAGAGAGAGAGAGAGAGAGAGAGAGAGAGAGAGAGAGAGAGAGAGAGAGGAGAGAGATGTGCTGATTTCGGAGGGAGATATGAACTAACGGCAGATCCGTAAGTGAGTGATCTCCAGGTGAAGGACTGGCTTAAACTATTAATAGCAAATGTGCTGATTGGCATTGATGTTGATGGTGGGTTCGATGCACGTCTCGAAAGTTCAGCAATACAGCGATGGGTGACACGATGCCCCCGCCCTTCTCCTCCGCCCTCGGAACGCAGACCCCGCACACGTTCCTTTCGCCCACCACGGTGTGATGGGAAGCCGTGCCATGGGCACCCCGATGGCGATCGAGATGGACAAGGAAGCGGGATCAGGTATGCCATGGCAGGTAGCCATCACGCGCGACGGCGGGGTTACGCGTGCGCGCGTGTTGTGGTAGAGGACTAAGAACATGTTGCCCTGGGGGCAAGCTGGGCAGAATACCGTACCTATGCTACGCATACCGGCGCACGATGAACAACGAGCAAGGACAACCGTTTGCCATGGACCCAGGCGAGGACGAGTTCGTGACGAAGAGGACCGGGTACGCCGGGAGCAACGTGATGCGCGTCGGGTTCAAGGCGCCGGGTCTCATCTACTACGAGAGCGACTACACCGAGGTGCCCATCAAGTGTTGCCGCTTGAGCGGGAGACTGGCTCAAATGAGTAACAGTAGAGATCCTAATCTTAATGCCGGTTGAAGAATGCCGGTGCCATAGTATAGTGCCGGTGTTTTCGGCGGTCACACACTGGGTTTCCAAGTCATCATCTCAATACTTGGAATAGTGCCGGTTCGGTATAGTGCCGGTCAATTTTCTGGGCACATACCGGCACTTACACCGGGACCTCTACTGTATAACCGGGAAGTTCTCTTATCACCCAATAATCATTCCTCATAATTATTTTCTTTTGTGTATTCCATGATAGTGTCGTTGACCCTAGCGCCAATAAGTGACATCATCGTAGCAGGAGTTACGAGGTCTGGTGGGAAAGGTCGCGCCTTGACACGCCTCAGGAGACTCTTGGGCGATCAATTTCTCGACCCTTTGAGGCACGCTCATAAATTCCACCCTTGTTCGATGAACCTGTATGTTTGCACCCCAAAGCTACCGTACGATCTCATCACCGTTGAACCCTACGTACATTCCGACAGCGGTGTTCGGCGCTTCCCCAAACACAAACCCATTCTTTCCAAAGTGAGCTTCACCAAAATCTCGTCGTTAACAATGACTCCATTTGACCCTCTCCCACCTCCCCACCTTTCAGGATGCAAGGCCAAGGGTCTAACGACTATGGCATGCCTTTTACATGAGCACCCCCCCCCCCATCCCCTCGTTTCCCCCTCGTCGAAGTTGGCAGACTTCGACCAGGCTCTCCGTTGTAAAGATGCGAAAAAGCGCGTAGGGTTTATTCCCGTGTCTCCCCCTCTCTCCAGTTTGGCTCCAGAGAAACGGAACGCATTGTCGATGGTCGAACGAACAAAAGTCGTGCAACAAATGAGTACGTTTCCCCGACCCCCCTCTCGCCGAAATACCTTGCGGTTGTACGATATGTGTGTTTTTTGCTCAGACGCTGGGTACGACTGTAAAGAGGCTGGCCCCACTCTTCCGGGCGATTTACTGGTTTATGATCAAGCTGAAGATCGACAAGAGAATCTCCATGAAGGTACAGTCGTGGCCCCGACACACCGCGGTGTAATGACAGGCGAAAGTCACCGCGGTATATCGGGACACGGCACTATTTGAGTGTTGGGGAGTATGTAGATTGTACTATAGTAACTCAATCCCGTGATGAGCGATTTTTCCCGCGGTGTGTCGGGACCCACACTACTCTGGACCGCGGTATCTCGGGACCATCACTGTAATCAAGTGGGCTCAAACACAGTACTACTCCATAGCGAAGGCTGGCACTACGTGGATCAACGAACCAATATGCCCGTGATCAAGGGGGTACCGTGATGTGTCTTTCCTGTGCCTCTCGTGTTTGTAAGTGGGTAGATGGTCCTATCAGGGTTTTGGACTCATTTGAGGCTCGTCTGTGGGGCCGCCTCTGCCCTGTCAGGAGGAGGAAGAGGTAATCGGGAAAAGAAAAATTGTGCGTGAGTGATCTTCGGATTAATACAGTTAGGGTCAGCGGTACACCAGACGAAACAACGGCGTACGCGTGAGTAGACTGATTGGGGTTAGCGGGGAGCTGGGAATGCTGCAGGACAGATCGTGTAATTCGGAAAGGATATTGTTCAGGGTTGTTGTTTAACCCACTCCTTGTTCTACCACCGTTTTACGGCCATCTCGGAGCTCGCGATTCGCGTTTGCGGTCAAACCAGACCTCAACTTCGCTCGTTTGATTGTTATGGCGCGACAATGTGCGATTGAAATTGGAACCACATATATATGCTCGTTTGACGCTCCACATCGTGGCGGAAGGTCCCTGCACCAACCTGTTCGACATCTGTTGGCGAAAAGACCGATCCATTTGATTTCTATGCGTTTCTATCCGTCGGTGTTCTTGGTGTACTATTTATGAACCCGCTTGATCGCCCCCTTGTGGTGAAACATCAGCTGCTGACCGCTTTGCGGCGTAACATCGTCTGTCACTTTTTCTCTGGTCGTGTGGTTCAGAAGATAGTCGTTGCTGCGTCCGATTTCTGTGGGTGCACTTGCGACATATCCCCAAAGTTGGCCCTGCTCTGTTTGCAGTGCATCGTTGATCACGATATTTCATCGATCGTGTCATGTCAAAATCGTGTGATATTTTGATGTCGGCATGGATCCGATCATGCCACTGATCATGACCTTACGTTGATGATGACATGTCGTGTCATCGATCATGCCCATGTCATCATTAAACCACGTTGGCCTTGAGTTGACATGGTTCATGTCATGACATCGATCATTCCACTTCGTCGATCCTGCCATGTCATCGATCACACCATGTCATCGATCCTATCATGCCACTGATCATGTGACTTTACGTCGCTCATGACATGTCGCTTCGTGAATCGTGCCATGGCATCGATCCTCCCATGGCATCGATCCTCCCATGTCATCGATCACACCATGTCACCAATAATATCGTGTACACCCATCATTTGCAGGACGAAGATCGGAAGGAAAGAAGCGATCGCCTGCTCTCCTACTTTGTGGGCTACGCTGTGCCCACCTCTCCCGGAAAGTGCATGATTTTCACAAGGTGGGGGTCGATCGGTCCAAAAGACAATGACAAGGAATGAATCCGTTTTGGTGTAGAGCATGGCGGAAACGCTCAGAACCGGAGGTTGGTGCTTTCTCTCTACGAAGAAAATCGAACGGCATTCTACAACGCCCCCGTAGGAGACTCGAACATGCCCGTAGGATACTCGAACATGCACATTACTGTTTTTTTAGACGAGGCGAATACACCTAAGGCAATCAGCGCTTACAGGACGTACACTGTTATCTTGGATATTCATGGTCACATGAGTAGCTGTATCAGGGAGGGTGGCATGCAGTTTGCTTGGTCAAACAAAGCTTGTGGCGAATGTTTTCAGAGACGACCGAAGATCCTTGGATGACGAGTGGGTGATATCCACGGTTATTTTGTCAGGAAGAATCTTAGGCAAAGCCAAGTTTATGCCTGACCGATTGACCGTGGATGACACCCACCCGTCATCCAAGGACCTTCGGCTAACTCTGAAAAAGAATGGCCTCGAGGTTCGTTTGACCTTTCAGAAAACTGCCTGCCACCTTTTCCCCTTTTTCTCAGGTTCAATCTTGCTCACCTAGAAGGTCGAGGGGGTTCTACGAGAGAAAGGGAGTTTTACTGCGCAGCACCTTTCCCTTTCTCCCGTTTGAAGCCCTCGACCCTGCTGGTTGAGCACGATTGAACCTGTGTGCCAGATTATTTTAGTCCCCCCAGGAAGCCAAGCGGCAGGATGGGTTCGTGGACCTCCCTGAGATAGGGGAAGGTGGCACGCAGTTTCCTGATCGACCAAGAAACCTTGCGGCGAGAACAGAAAATCGAGACGAGAGAAGGTCCTTGGGTGACGGGTGGCGATTGTGCAAACGAAGACGTACGTCTGGAGGACGGGTGACTCCAATAGGTCCTCAAGGGAAGTGATGGAAGGGACGATCGTCCTCCATCACTTCCCTTGAGGAGTTACCCGTCCGCCAGACGTATGTCTCCGTTTGCATAATCCCAACCCGCCATGCGTGCCACCTTTGACTTTCTTCTAAGGAAAGTTCGCGAAGCCATCCTGCCGCTCGGCTTCTTGGGGGACTAGTCAGGCACTCAGGCTCAATCGTGCTCCACAAGAAGGTCGGGGGCACCTTCAACGAGAACAGGGAAAGGTAGCGTGTAGTACCTTTCCCTTTTTCTCGTTGAATGTTCCGCCGACCTTCTGGTTTAACACCGTTGTATATCAGTGCGAGAATAGTCCTCCAAGAAGCCGAGCGGCAGGGTGGCTTCGTGCACTGTGCTCATCTTGGTCGACATGAACAGCCTGGTCATCATTCAAACGGAGACACAGCACGCAGTTTCCTGAATATGATGAAAAAAACGTGAACAAAATCTGGCGGCGATTGTTTTCAGAGATGACCTAAGATCCTTGGATGACGAGTGGGTGTGATGCACGGTCTCACTCTGTCAGGCAGAATTTTGGGGCAAAACCTTCAAGGGACGAGATGCCATGCCCAAGATTATGCCTGTCCGATTCACCGTGGATATCACCCTCTCGTCATCCAAGGATCTTGGCTCATCTCTGACTAACAATCGCCGCAAGTTATTTTTACCAATCGTGAAACTGCGTCATTCCGTCCCTTTCTCTTCAATCAGAAACCCGTGTGCGACCCCCTTTCCCTCTCTGGCCGACGAGATAGAAACTGGAGACATATTTTGAGCGTCTCCCTCCCCGCCCCTTTCTCCCTTCGGCAGGACAGCGCGAAACTTTTTCCTCCAGCATCCGGTAATACCCCGCCGCTTCCGCAACAGCATCGCCAAGGAACACCTCGGGCAGCACCTAGTTCTCGACGGGGATAGCCCGGCGCTTCACATACAGGTGGCGAAGGGAGGAAGGAGCAAAACATGAGGCCGAACCAAGACTTTTTAGTAGTGGTGGTACGCCTGAAGTTTTCGTCATTAAGGTTTTCGTAAGGAGAAGGAAAAAGTTGTGCCACTCGCTTTTGCACAGTTTAGGTATGAACGAAAACGTCAATGTACTGTTACTTGGGGAGGAATAGCACATCGTCACAATACAACCAAGGTTTGGAGGTGAAATGGGACGAAACCGTGGAAAACGTAGCTGTCGCGCGCTACTAAACACTATCGGATGTCACGTCATGGAACATTTTGTTTTGAAGTCAAGAGCGAACAGAGTCTCAATAGACACTGGGCTTGGTTGTTGCGCGAAGACGAACAAATCACAACGCTACGCGTGTGAGGTTTGATTCCCAGCCCGTCGTGTGTTCAAAGTGAAGTTATGCAGTATGCTACGAACCACACTAAAGAGAGAACACGGAAACAATACAGGTTAGGGCGTAACCCCAAATCTCAATGTCTGCAGAAACAGCAAAAGAGCGCGAACTAAGAAAAACGCATCATGACGAAGTGAAAAGACACAAAAATCACCACACCGATTTTCAGGAACGCCTCCTGGCCGACGCTGGCGAGCGGGGTGTAGAGCGGCCGGAGAAGACGTACTACATGCCCACCGCCAGTGACGTCCCCGTCAGGTTCTTCCGGAAGTGGTACCACTCCCGAGGGGGCGCCGGACCTCCGTGGGCGAAGGTGAGAGACAATGCGAAGAACGAAAACCTATGGGGTGACATTCTGGCAATGAACTCGACAAGGAGGGGTGTGTGTGTGTGTGTGTGACGTCATCGGACATCGCCAAAATGCCAACAGAGGACGGACGGGGGGCGTTTAGTAGTTTCTGACAAACAACGGTTTCCGATGCGGAATGTTTCATACTCGAGTGGAGCGCCCTCGTGTTTTTCGGCACCTCTCTAGGAGTAGGAACGGTGCTCTTTCTCGAAGGGGGCGCACGGTCACTGTTCGACCGACAAAGGCAAGCATGAACCAAGCGTCTCAGCCAGACTTCAACATTTTCATCCGATTTGAAGCTTTTACCGGTTTCGGTCGCACAATCCTCTACAACAGGGGGTGGATCCAGCTGACCTTGGTCCGATACTTCCCCGCGAGGAGGTTCTTGACAGGATGGACGCGCACACAAAGGATTGCTCCGCCTGTAGCAAAGCGTTCCGAGGTACGAAAACTGCATGTATGTTTTGTGCGGACATGTTTGTTGTTGTTATTGTTGTTGTTGTTGTTTTTCTTTGGAAGGTTGTTGTTTCAAACATTGTTAGATAGTGTCGAGCTACGAGAGTAAAACTCTATTTTGCTCTGCTGTATCCTTCGACTACCCGCCTCAACGTCTGTTCTTGAGCAGAGATCGCTCCCATTGTCCTGGACACAAACTGTTGAGTGATCACGCATTTTAGCAAGCGCAAATTTCCTGGCCTAACCACCTGCTTTTTTCGACTTACACCCATCATCCCGGTTGCGTCACCGCCAGTGTCGGGGGCCGTGAAGCGCCTGTCCGCCGGCAGCACCCTGGTGCTCCTAGGGGCGGCCGCGGCGGTTCCTCGGGGATTGCTCCCTGTCGGGCTTGTCGGTGGAGCCTTGGCGAGCGCGGGTGAGCAAGTCAACTCTCTCCTGCTGCCGCCATCGCCACAGTATGCGAACGGTCAAGTGCGATTTTGGCACGCATGTATCCCACCTATGCAAGTACGATATTTCCCGTCTAATTTGTAGTGCTCCTTGAACCCCCCCCTGCCCCCGACGTGCGTCACGCGGTACCCCCTCCTCCCTGTCTCTACTGAACCTTCCCGGTATATTGTTGCCCATTTACGCGCTGCATCGCCGTCGCTAAACCATTACTTCTTCCGCTCTTTATATCGTACCGTGCTGTTTCTGTGTGGTTGCCGAACAAATCAGGTCTCGCGGTGGCCATGTCGAAGCGCCAGCAGCAATTCGTGTTTCTGGATTACGTCCATGCCGAACGTGATTGAAGAAAAACCACAATTAAAAATACCAGAGAGACGATAATTGGAGTACGGCACGAAGGAATACACCCAAGGTCGTCATTGCCGCGCTGCGGCTTTCCTTCGGTTGCGCGAAATTCAAGCACCCCTTCGGCGCGCGACAACAGCGAGCAAGAAGGCCTTCATGTACAGCGTTGACCAGGAGTTCTGTCTGTATGACCTCTATCGGAGCCAATCAGACGATATGATAGGTGAAACGTAGAAGCTGCCAGCGACGGCAACCACAGACGATAACGAAACTCAAAAGTTGACAACCACAATTAATTTCTGTCTCTGAATGAGGGAATCGTGTTCAATGCAAGTATTGTTCTGTCCGTGTAGCCCGCGCTATAGATATCATGTGGGTGGCGTATCCTGTTTAAATAACACAACAGTGGTAGAAGCCCCCCCTTATGTTCGCATGTGCCTATTTAGACCTGGGTGTGTGGATGGGCCGGGGCAACATGATGAATGAAAACACAAGTACCAATGTGTAAGTACAACGGAGGAGAGCACAAACCTTAAAATCGACTGTTTACATTTTTGTATCTCTTCGGAGTACAATGAACTCTCTACCGTGACATTTTGAGTATTGTGTTTTCGTAGAATGTCTCTTCAGAAGTAAAAGTCTCGACCCCTGCTGACGTCACTCACGGCCCGAAGTGTGTTCGGCCAAACACACGAAGATGGCACCGGAGTTGACCAGTGGGACAACTGCGTGAAGTGGGTATATGCAGTTGGGTAGCACGGGGTTGTTGGCATGGACGGACGAGACTGGTCTGCGTTGGTGTCCCATGTTTGGTGGTGCGTGTAATTAAGGGCGTAAACTAAGCGGCACTACAGGTTGCCGCGCGTGGACACTCGATACCGTTTGTTTCCCGCCAGGAGTAGCTCAGAAGCACAGGAGGGGTTGGCGCGCTAGTATTTGAAGAAGTAAGAGGAGCGGTATTTGGTTCTCATTGGCTTGTCTGGCCGCTATGGAATGTGATTGTGGAGTCGCGACAGATACCTAGCGGGCAATAGCATTGTTGGTGTACGGCAGCAGTGTGCCACGCGCTCGAAGATTCATTCGCCACGGGGGGGAAGTGGATGTAACGATCGTTCGTTGTTGTCTCATGTGTATTTTCTATGTACCTTTAAATACTCCTTTTTCGAAAATATCGGGAACTTCAAAGAGAGACCACCCGTTCGAGATACTACCCCGTTCGAAGGTACGTGGTGGAATAGACGGGTTGAGGGACACCTGCCGGCAACTGGAGTTCGTTTATCGCCGAGGGAATCTCATGAAGACCTCGTCCCCTCGGACAAAAACCCCCAAGGAAGGGTAAGTTAGCTATAAGAACATAGACAACGCACTCAACCTCTTCTTATGGCCGAGACTCGTTTTTTTGTGTACGGGGTACCCCCCCGGTGGCCATAGTCTATAGGTTTTAGTGCCGGCTGCTTGACTGAGCACATGTTCTTGTGTCCAAGTTCTTGAGACGTGGGTTTGTTCAAGTGCTCAAGGTGGCGCGTCCTTGTGTTGTAGCGTGTTGGTGCCTTCGTGATGCCTGCAGAAGATACGCACCACATGAAGAAAATGACTACCTATCCGACATCGGAGGCTAAGAGGTGTGCTGATGAGTTCAGCGGAAGGCCGAAGGTTAAGGTTCGGGCGGCATCATCAGAGTAGGGCCGCCAGTTCACGACCTTCCACAGATGGATCTTCCACAGATGGGTCCGGGTGCCTTACGAGTTCCTGCAGGTGGCCGTTGCTTTTTAGTTAAAATCCTATGTACGAACGTACGTGTGACGAGAGTGACAGATATATTGCTTACTTAGTGGCGGCCAGTTACCGTGATTGGTTTTGACATTTGCTATTGACATACATTATTTGATATACGACATTTGATTTTCGGGGATTGTGTGTTTTGGGGTTGGTCTTCCAGAATTTGGAGACTGGAAACTGAGTTGCTGTCCAAATACTGTGGGTGAAAAGTGGTGGCGAACAGCGTAATGATCAAACGGGGAACGTTGCAGGGCACTCGCCTGGGCCTCAACAGTGAAACTGAGACAATTGGCAACGATTAGGCCACACATATACAAGGTACATGGACGGTGAAGTCCCATATGCCGTGGAAAAAGAGAAGGAAAAAAAAACTCCCGAGGAGAGAATCAGACCAGGACCCTTCGGCTGTGGAACGACCCATTCATCCCGTAGGGTAGAATCTCGTAACAGGTTTGAATTTGCTTCAACATACTGCCCTATGTATTGTAGCGTAGTGCTCTTGACTCTTGCCCGCAAGTCTATCCATATGAGACTATGCACGATTCAACCGTTAGAGAATAGAGGCGCCCATACACACACGGCCTTCCACAGATGGATGCCTTACGAGTTCCTGCAGGTGTGGTAATTATTTTCGTCAAATCCTACCCATGTACCGAACGTGTGTGATGATGACCAATATTGCTACTGGTACAGTATATCTATGCTGGGCGTATTTTGTTTTGGGTATTTTGGGGGACGCAATATATGGTGCACTTAAGTGTTGGCGAACGGAGGGAAGCAATGGACCCTCGCTCCGAACAATTTGGCGGCTTGAACCACAGAGAAACCGGCGGACCGCTCCCCAGCAGAAAATGAAGGACCTTTTCCCAGGGTAGGTACAAACGCAAGCGAGGGACCGTCGATCTTACAAAGCGTACAAAGCAAGTTTTGCACCGCCCGTGAAAAAAGTCTTTTTCGTAGGGCACGAAAAAGTGTATGCTTGTGGTTTGGGGCAACCTCTGACCGTGGTAACTCGTTTCGTCGCCTTGGAACGGTTGTACGTGCGAGCAACCTGGGGTAGCCAGAACCACTTTCGCAGAGCGCGACACACATCAACACCGCATGAAAGGCTCCCGCAAAATGACTCTCTTACGTTGAATGAAGTAAAAGGGCGTGTTGTGTGTGTGCCAAGCGAAGGTGCGCCATGATTCATGTGAGTTGTCGCATACTAGCTTGATGTCATGAGGAGAATTGCTTCTGTTGCAACACACAGACGCCCCATCTTAGGCCGTCTACCTTACGGCGCGAGCTTGGTAGGCCCGAGTACTGCATGTACCTTGCACGGGAGTCACTTGATCCACGTGTGAGTGCACGCTACGCCGTGGTGCTATCAAACCAATTCTCGCAAATACGGAAAATGTGGTGGGGGGGCGGGGGCTACGTCACGGGGAAATGAGTGCGAACAATCAAAACAAGGTAGGTTTCTCCATCAGAGCGATTTTCCCTAGAACGCCACCGCGTCTGAATTCGAGGACGGCTACCGAGTGCTGCAGCTGCTGCAGCTGCACGGTATTCCCCGCGTCACCTCACGATAAATTGCTCACCAACCGGGGACAAGCGTCATGGCAACAAACATACGCGGCCAGCCCCAAACCCACACACGAAGGCAGATGTACCTTTTGAAAAAAAAGAATGTATTTTTGAAGGAACGTGGGAGGGGTACATTTGGGGCCCTCTGAGCCTTACAAATGCGGGCCGATTTTAGGCTGACCCCCTGTCCACCAACTAAGCGATATTTGTTTCACGTATCCAGGACGCTCCTCTGGGACAAAACTACAACTGGGGGTCGTGATGACCATATCATCATTCGTTATCAACCCAACGTTGGTTTTCGTCATAGATGTAACGCAGTCATAGATGTAACGCAGCCGCCTTACGTGAGACATCGCCAAGATCCCATGCCAAAAAAATGAAATAAATCCTTGCCATCCTTGTTGACAACCGCGTCAACATGGTATGCATGAAGACTGCCAACATGTTCAGGCGTGCACCATAGCCTTCAAAACAGTGCGTTCGGTCCAAGATATCGAACCACCGCGGTTGAGCATGCCCATGCTCTTCATGTGTGCATCCCCCCCCCCCCCCCCCAAACAACAATTGCGCCGGGGCCCCCCCCCTTGGTCTGTATCCGGGAGCCCAATTACTTTTTCCCCCCAAAACCTGACAAAAAAAAAAAAAAAAAAAAATTGGGGGAAAGGAGGCGGGGAATCCAACTCCA